TAACTACTAGGCTGTTTTCTGTTCTAGCTCTTCCCCTCTCCCCTCCACCATGATATTTTACTGGTGTTGGTTTCTCATGGATGAGAAACAAAATGAGAGCGTGTAAAATCTTGACGTTTTTCACAAAGTGTTCACATCGTTTTCCGGCCTGTCCTGACGTTGATTACCGCACAGTTTGGCCTTTCTTTTTAGTGCTAGTATGGTAAAAATAGGGATCCAAAATTCAAGGCTGAACATCAGCTGAGACACTCATTTGACTAACACAGGCCTTGCCAAGGCATAACATCCACATTTCAAGTTTAAAACACAGTAAGGTACCTCACACTTAAGCTTGTAAGCTTTAACTCCTATCATGAGACTCCCAGCTGAGTGGGTTAAACATGCAAGTTAAATCCTCTAAGGACTGCTAGACCTTTGGGACTAATGTTCACTCCTATCATCCATCTAATAGCTGCTCTTCTTCTAGAAATCTGGCTGCTTCTCATTATTGTGAAATAAGTATGACCCATCAGAACTATCCATGGGTCAACTTTATCCATTAATGTCAGAAACTCTCTAGACCCCATATCACAACCATCTTTACTGTAGCCACACTAGCTGCTGATGGCCGGCATTTTGCTGCAAGGCATTGGACTGCTAATCACCCCATTTGTTATTTTTTTCAAGGAACTAGGAAATGGCAATGGCAGGCAAGAAAATGAAAAGCAGCAGGATTCATTCCTTTGGCATAAACACTACTCGGTTGCAAATGATTTCCATCAGAGTATAAATGTATAAAGTGGGACTGCAGAATGTCTATAATTTGGAAGATACAATGAATGACACCTCTTGCACTGAGAGACAGGTGGTAAGTCAGATGAGGTTAAAACCTGAGGAACAAACCTTTAAATATCCTCCAGCTGAGAAAGAAAGGAGTAAGGAACTGTGAATTGTCTTAGTAATGAAAATAGTGAAGAATTTAACTGGGAGAAGATTTATTCTTAAAAATATTTAAGAATATTAGAGTTTTCTGCCTGAGCAGGCTAACGCATGTAGTAAGCTGGATTGGGTTGTCCTCAAACATAAGTTTTCAGAGATATAGCAGGGGAAGATGGGAGAGAAAAAGGGGGAAGCCTTATGCTAAATTTTCTGTCACGCAGAAATTATTACAGCACTGTTTGCTTAACCTCGGTCAACTTGGGTATTAGCAATCCCAGCTGTCACTGTCGATTATGGAAGGGCAAAAACATGACTAAAAATCCAAAAAGGTGACCAAGATCAAAATGATCAAAACCACCCCCTAAACCAAGATCCAAAAAGAAGACCTAGAATATGGACAAAAATCACTAAAGAAATCTTGGTAGGGAGACAGAGTCCTCATATGTTGACATATCATTTTACATCTGTAGGTCAGAAGTTTAGGTTTGCAATACTCTGAAAGGAATGTGTCAGGATAAATATATCACACTCAGTGGATTGGTTATATTTTCCATACATGGATTAGTTATTGATTAGTTTTATTGCTACTCCTTAGCAGATGATAGAATTAGTTAGACAATTACAGTGTTTAAAATTTAAGAAAATATTTTCCCTAAATATTCCCCCCGCCATGCCTCCAGCTCCCTCTTCCTTACAAGGGCTGCTAGCTCCCAGTCGTTCGCAACACGTGCATGCAAAAAAATACAAACATTGCAAAATAGACCTGCACTTCCTCTTAGTGGCAATGAAAATTTTGCAAAATTAAAGCCTGAATCAATGGCCACTGTGTTGGTCATTTGACTGCTTTTTATTGCCTTTTTGCATGCAGTATCCCGGAAGCTGTGCAAACAAATCAAGTGTGCAAATGAGACTGTAGTCAGGAAGATTTGGGTTTTTCGCTGTTACTTTACACTTTAATTTTTTTATGAGTCTCCTGTGCCTGGTTTTGTTTATAATGCCTAGTGGCAGATCCTATTTGTGACTTATCATTTTAAAGCAGTTTTTGTATTTCATCTCTATAGAATTCCCTCTGGAGGATGCTACCAAGGAGGCTAATCATGCCAACAAAGCCTACAGTAGCATAGGAACTCAGGAAAAGAAGCAGATTATGTTATTGCATATCTGCATATCTGCAGAAATGTCAAATTCACCTGGGCTGCTACAATACATGCTGCTTTTTTCCTATTTGTTTTCAGAATGGGTGGAAATGATTCACAATCACTTATGATGTACATCACTACATTCCCTGACATGTGGGATGAGAGAATCAGTAAGCAGACTTTGGGCAGGAAACCAAAACATTGCTTTATGCTATTTCTTTCCTGCACAACCTTTTTCAAAATCTGTTCAACTGTCCAGCACATCGACAGGACAGAATGTGCCAATCATGAAGCATTACACCCCCAAATTCTCAAGTGATCAAATAACTACCTGAACACAAAAAAATACCTAGCAGGATTCTAATATTCTTAGATTAAAGGATATGAAAGATTTTCTTCTAATAATGACAAAAAAAATCTCCATTTACTGTATACAAGCACCTACCCAGAGGACAAAACATGACTTGGAATTCAGATGTAACTTGCCAATAGTTATAGGACAAAATTTAGACGTGTCTTGTGCACTCGATCTTTGAAAAAAAAATGTTGAAGTCGTGCAGCAATCTTCAAAACAAGGAGCACCGGCTGCTAAAGAAGCCATATGGTCTGGGGAGCAAGTGCCCACCCATGACCGAGGAGTTTCAGGTCCTATTCTTCATCCCAAGACCAATTTCTAGCATGCCCCCAGCAAATCACTCGAGCTCCTGTTCCTCTGCCCACTCTCTGTCTGCCTTGTCTGTTGGGGCTCAAAGCTCTCTAGGGCAAGGACTGTTTCATTTTGTAAGCTTTCTAGACGGCTATTGTAACACAAGTAGCAGCGACTTGGTTCAAGAATGTTTACGAACTGTTTAGGATGTATGAATCAGAAATATTAAAGTGTGTTTGGGAAATAGCAATGGGTTCGGGGTGATGTTATGAAGAAACCTTAGGGTACTTAATAAGTATGCAACTGTTTCATGTGAAAAGTATCCTGTAGTTCCTTTTTCATGTCAGTACTGAGAAAAAATAAGAAAATAAAATCATTTCGCCTGAAGGACAGCCTACTGAAGAAGTGTCATTCGTTCTTGACCCAGCCTCTAAACTTCAACTTACTGGCAAAATGGTAGCGGAGTTAGCATATCATCTTGGGGTGTGCAGCAGTGCAGAAGAATTTGACAGCCTCCTGGATGAGTTCTCTATTTACCAACTCCTCGATACTGACAGTGTTATGAAAGGGCCAGTAAACACAGCAGTGCTCTACTTCTAGGGCACTGTTCTTGGCAAGAAGCAGGCACGAGGGCTGATTTTTTTTTGTTTAGTTAGACTTATGTCGATTCTTTCGTGCTTGCCTAACTCAAAGAGGCAGAGCCTGAAAGACTTTTTACAAAAATGTGAAAGACCAACTTATAATAGTGTCTAAAGAGACAGTCTTGCCAAAAATATGTGTATTCGAGGAGATCCTTAGCTGGTTAAAACAGAAAAGCTATCTGCAGACTTAGAGGAGCTGAGTATCTGATCTACCAACTTTTCTTTACCATAAAAGTATACTATTGTGATATCGATTAGCTTATGCCTTAAAGCAAGCAGATACAGTTAAAACAGGGCATTCAGATCTTGATTTGGCTTGATCCATCTAGGAGTTCTGTTTAAAAAACAAACAGCTCAATTCGAGTACGCGCACGCATCTTTTTTTCAGGAGAAGAACCTAAATCTGAACTGCTATTGAACTCTACCTGCAGCTCTTATCATCATAGAGAATGAGGTACAAAGGAAGAAATGTTTCACAGATCAAGTATTCTGTAATAATAATAATATTAATGTTAATAATAAAAGCAATAACATAAGTAGCTAAATTCTCACTTCGTAACTACATTTTTTCCACAGATTGGCTCTAAATACTAATGTTACTCTAAGTATACTTAATTAAGCAATCTAGGTTTCCTCCACAGCCAATGGAGAAAGACTGGTTCTTAACTGAAGTGCTCTGAATAGCCTCAAGAAGGTTTATATGTTGCTCTCCTGGTTGCAGTGAGAGCCTAGACTCCTAATTCAAGAACCTAGATTAGATTTCCAGAGGTTAAAAGGCATGGATAACTCCATCTGGCCCCCAAATGATCACTTATTGTTTTGCACCCCCACCCCAATGATCACATTTCAGCAGCACATTTCCTCGTATGAGTAGGCGAAGTCCTGTTTGCCCAGCTGGAGGATGACTGATTGTATGCTTGAGGTTAATCAGATAGGGAAGTGTTTGCCAGACTGAGACCTGTGCTTGAAAATGTCTTTAAAATCTGTCAGTAGGAGGGGTAACATACAAGCATTATTATTATTTTACTTATTATTGCAAACTAACTGATCTAACAACTCATGGCATAATAATTCAAGATCTAGTTAGTCTAGGATGAGATCAAAAGCCATCAAAAGCATATGGAGCATAGCTTTTAATTACTCTAAGACATGCCCTCCCCGCCCCTCTCCAGTCTTTCAGAGCTGTGAACTGTCTATTAACAAGTCTATTAACAAGTGGCCACGAAGCAAATACCAGGATTGGATTAGAAGACATTTCTAGCAATGTTTAGACCTCAACACGATTGCTATCTTAAATTTGGCAAATGAAGCTTCTAAATGAAATATTTCTGGTTCAGAATCTTCACAAATATGCAGATGTTTGTGAAGATGAATACAAGTTTGTTACACTTCTGACATACTATCAATTTGTCAGCCTATCCTTTTGCACTTTGCAGCAGCAAATATGGCTTTGTGTAGCAACAGAAGGACCATCTTTCATTTCAGCTGAAGGCCACATTCTGCAGCTCAGTCAAATGTTTTAGACAAATGCTCTTCACAAAGTAAGGCAAATATGCCTTTTTTGTTTTATAGGGGGGTCAGCAGTTTTTCTCTGTGAATGGTTTATTATCAAAGATAAAACCCTAACAAGTATTTTCTTTTTCTACTCATTTTTAGGGTCATATTACAATCCATTGAAGTTTTGTGAATCTGAAGAAAAAAAAATCAGCGACAGGACTCACCATCTGTTGCATAATGAAAGAGACATGTGAATAATAGAACGTCAGTTGAAAGGTTTGCAAGTGATCAAATGTTGTTCAACACCTCAATAATATTTCCTTGCAAAAAAGACTTGTTTCAGATATTTCAGTGTTGCAAGTTTTCATTTGTTTGTTTGTTTTGTTTTGTTTTTGATTCCACGACTGGGAGTGGAATCTTTTATATATGTATATATACACATATATGTGTGTGTGTGTGTGTGTGTGTGTGTGTGTGTGTGTTTATGGTTGTGGGTTTCTAGAAAGTGGTAATTCTTGGGGACAGTGACAAAGCTCACAGATACAGACAGCTGCTTCCATTGCTTTTGAAGTTTAGGGGCTATGGAGAATGTAGAAACACAGCTCATTTTTATAGGTGTGGGGCTGAATTCTTAATTTAAATCCAAATGCACACATCACACAATCCCATCTCACTACTGTTATTCTTTCTCTGACATGAACAGAGAGCTGTGTTAATCCTTCAGAATACTCAAAGCAAAAGGCAGGTCTGAATATATTCAAGGCCACAATTTATTGTCCAGATGTTTTTCAGTTTTCGAAAGGAGGAGAATACAAAGTGCTTTAATATTGCATAACTCTGTCACCTGATAAGAAACCACTGTCCTGTAATGAATCTACAAACTATGCTTTACAATATATCCCTTAAGGCTATGGTGTAGAAATATTTCTCTATGATCGTCTCTTAAAACAAGAATTGAGGTTATATGAGTCCTTCCTAAGATGTCAGAGAGCTGATTGAAAAATAGACAATACTAAATACTAAGGCAAATAGCAACATGGTCCCATTGAAAAAAGATGCTACATTTTTGTTTCTATTTTAACCAGCATTTAGTCTAGTTACAAGGATGTCTTTCCAAACTCTCTGTCTCTCTCATAAGCCACGACATTATGCAAGGCTGACATGCTGATACCAAATAACTTTTCACATATAGAAATCAGAGTTTTTATAGTTCCATCAGAAACAAATCTGAACAACAGAGCTACCCAAACATGGATACAGTTATGGCAGACTGACTCACTGCATCTATTTATATCTTCACCTTAAATTTTACCTTTAAACATTCCAAACCTTTCTACCCTCACCCATTTTGCAATAAGATGCTCCCATCTGCAAAGCATTCAGTACTCAAAACTTTCCTTCTTACAGCAGTCAAGTTCTGTTTATACTGAACACTTTTTACTAATTTTCCCTTTCCTTCTGTAGAAACCTTGATAAGAAAAACCTTCTTCTTGAATATTCAGTCATTCAAATTAATGGGCATTTTCTTGGAACGTTGTTGTTTTTTTTCTCCCATGAGTACTGGCAGATCAAAAGTTCACAGAAGTATTCTGGTGCAATTTGTAGATCAACTGCAAAGAACAGTGTGCCTGGCTATATTTCTAATGCGTTACAATTGAAATGCTACATTTTCATTTTCGACTGACAATGAAAAACACCAAGTAATATTCTAAGGCCAAAAATTATTGCTGAAACTTATGAGCAAGTCATTTCCTAACAGCTTTGTTCCTTGAATACTGTCTTATCGAAAGTGCCCAGGATTTTATTGAAGTGAACTATTCTAATGAAAAAGAGCATTTGATGAACAGGCAGGGCTGCAAACGCAATTCCACTCCCCTTCTTTCCAAATGGTTTCATCAGTAAAATAACCAGAAGCACCCAGGTGACCACAGATGAAAACTTCCAAGTACAATTTCTTCAGGATGACATGCTTTGTTTTTCAGAAAATTGCTCTTAAATTAATCTCCTAAATATGGATGAAGGCACCTGATTTCTTTTCAGAAATACTGAGAATCCACAAAAGCCCTGTATGTCCTCAAACTATCTGTTCCAATTTTTTAAAAGTTCTTAAGAAATAACATTTTAATACCAAATTCTGATGTTCCATATGTTGGAAGTGGAGCTTACCAGTTATTACTGTTTTATTAGATTTAGTTGCCTCTTTGATCTCAGTGCACTCAATATCTTTTTTCTCCAATCCAGATGCTCAGAGCTCTGCCCTACTAATATAGTTGTAGTCCTATTACTTGGAATTTCTGTACTTTTGATCTCACTGGTAGAGACAGAAACATAATTACAGCAACAGATCAGGCTGCCTGCCAGTATCAATGGTAAATAACACTGAATGACTCATAGTTTCACAGTTATAACGTGGTTTACACATTTTGGTAAGCAGCTGCCCAACAGACTTAGCCAGAATGTATACACAAGTGCCAAATTTTTCAGTTTTTTTTTTTTTTTTCTTCAGAACGGGGGATCTGTGAGTTAATCAGCACTGGCCCTTCCTCTGGCCAAGAGCTGAAACAGGGTTTGCACAGTCCCTTTCCAAGGCAAGAAGGGCTCCGAGCCTCGGGCTGGTGACTCGGCTCTGTTCCCAGGTGCCCTCTGGGCATGGGAATGTGACATGGCTGAAGCCCCTCTAGCTGCAGTCCGAGCTCCACCTGACCATTGCTGCTATCCAACCCCGGCCACCAAGGCGAACAGGAAGACATCACTGATTCTGTCCTTCTCCATGCCTCTAGGAAGTGTATGAGGGGGGGCAAGGAGGGGGGCTGGTGCTACCGTTTGGTGGTGTCTGTGTGTTTTAGCTGTTACCCCATGCTTGCTGCTGCTTTATGTCTTAAGATTCCCTATGTGTCGTCCTGCAGAAGTTCATTAAACATGAGCCATTCTTGAACCAGAGTTCAGTCTGGTCCTCAGACCACTGACTACATAAAAAGCCATATGGTTGCATGTTGACATGAGACTGCAGGGAATATAAGCTTCGTAGTCCTAGCTATAGGAATCACCCACTCCCTCTGCTTTCTGCATTTGCTTTGCTCTGCTCCTTTCGTGTCTATTGTTTGCTCAGTGTAGCTCAAACATTGATAAGAAAAAATCTGGGACTTTTATCAACAAGTTCTTTTTTAAACTAAACTATTCCATCAGCTCCTAAAGACAGTGAATATGCATATCTTAACTCCTTAAAAGAAATATGCAGCAAGAGGAAACATTAAAATAAAAAATTAAGAATTTATGTAACTGGTGTTTATAATATTCATTTCAACAACGTTGTCAATTAAAGTTTATTATGAACTCTCTTTAAAGTGAGATGGTATCTCTACTTTTTCCAAAGCAGCAAAAATACACGTGCTAATGCACAGCAAGGACCTCTCTAAGTTGACCAGCAACAGCTGTATTGTAACATGCAAAGATAACTCAAATCTCTTGCCTCAGGGTATAAAAGAGATGAGGGGCAGGAAGGATTTTTTTTTCCCAATAGACATCCCTGTGTAATAAGTTAGGTATACTGTGAAGAGTCGGAAGAAGCTGTCACATTACGAAGCAATAGATGCAGGCCACCTGATACAGACAAGGGGTTTTGTGGAGCAATAGAAAAAATCCAGTATTTCTATATCAGATTTACTGCACACCTGTTCACACACAGCCATGAGCTCACTTTCTGCTTTGTGAGCTGTATCTAAAATATTTCACATTAGAAAAATGATTAAACTTTCTCTACAATGTCTGCATGAGGCTATAATCACCTACACAATATTTAAAAGAGTTATACATGTCCATGCACATAATGTGTATAAACTCATGCACGCATGTTATAAAATGCACATCCTGGTTATTAAGCACGCACACAGACATGCACACAGCTAGGAGCAAAAATGGGAAGTCTGATGAAGAAACCTAGTAAGCTGGCTACATTTCATAATATATTTTACATCCCCATTTCACTGCACCCTTCATTTTGTTCATAGCTGGCAATGACCTGACTAATTAAAACAGGTCCAAGAAGCTGAGCACTAGCTGTAGCGAGGACGCTCACCGAGAGCCTGCCCTTGCTCATGTTGTTTTGCTGCTCGGTGGCCTATGATGTTTCCTGCAGAACAACAGAGGGAACTGAAGTTTTCCTTTCAAGGGATTCACCAGCACAATAAGATATTTACTGTGTTTATCACAGAGATCAAACCCACACACAGATGTCACATTTCTTGAATTCCATCAGTAGATCAGACAAGCAGTCGCTGGAAAGAGGACATTACAGCCAGAAAGTTCAGAGCGTGCAGGCGTTGGAGGGCCATTCCTCTTCCATTTTCTGTCATGCACCCTGAGCCTTTGTTGTCTCCGCAATGCTGATAAATCAATCCATCAAAAAATTTCCTCAGTGAAACTCAATCAAGAAAGGTCATGTCAGCGGGAGAGGAACAGATTAAATTAGCATCAAATTAGACATGGAAAGTGAGTTCTGTCAAAATCATCACAGCGCTCAGCACAATTAGAATATGTTAATTATGCATTTCATTAAGGTAGTGCTCTTTGAATGCGAGATGAAATGTCAGTGGTGTAGGCATCCGAAAAAAGGAAGATTGCCAGGCACAACTTTCTCTAGACAATGTGTGACACCTTCATTAACATCAAGAATCACAAGTCTGTCTTGACTTTTTTGTAAAGTATTAAACCGTTAACTGTTTGCTGGCACTTGAAGCAGGCAGAGCCATTCGCATTCCCCTCTTGCTCCGCACCACGACTAGCTTTCTTGCCCTGTCACCAGCCCTGGGGACTGCCGTGAGAGTCCGGCGTGTGCTGCAAAGGTAGCTGCAATTTAATGAAGCCTTTGCTGGATGTGCTAAGGAGAACATGACTGCCCTACGGGTACGACTCTGATGGGGGTGCTGAGGGAGCTGAGCTACTGTCGGGGAGAGGGGTAAGATAATGAAAGGAGGAGGGAGGGATAGAAGGAGGGGAAAGGGTGGAACAATTTTATTTTGCCTCTGGTTGCAAGATATAATCAACCTAAAGGGGAGAGGAAAAAAAAAAAGGCAGAGAGATTTGCAAACCTACATTTGACAAACCCTAATTTGGGAAATTATTTTGTATATCAAACATCTTTGATTCCTAATGATGAGCTGTTTTTCAAAGAGAAAAATGATCCCTGGTGAGTTTGGGAGGGAACTGTAGCTTCATAAAATACTACTTATAGGCTTTATTAATGCGTTTTCAGATAGTAAGTTCAGGGAGGATTTTTAAAAAATTACATATTTTCTAGATACCTGAGAAAAAACTGCTGACCTCTATTTATTTCGTTAGAGCCTCCTGTATTCTCTTGGGGCATATGGATGATGGCTAGTGGAAGTTACAGATAGTCAAGCTTTCTAATGATCACCTCATTTCCATTTACCTGCCTAAAAAGGGGATATCAAAGCCAATAGCTTTGAAATCGAGCCCATTTGCTCTGAAGAGAAGAGGCAGTGGCTTGCAGGGCTGCACCACAGTCAGGCGGGCACCTAGGAGCCGCCGCTGGGCGGTGAGAACTTGCTGTCCTCCAAGGCCACTCAGCCCCTCCACAGAGCACCCTGGGGCTGTGTTACCGGCGCAGACAGCAATCGGGGCGAAAAATGGACTGCCCCGCGCAGAAGTCGTCTGCAAGCTGTGGGGGAATACATAAGGTTCTAGTTTGGAGCAACTCTGGAAATTGGAAACCTCACTTTGAAAATGCACATTTATTTTCTGGCACCCCTCACCTTTCTCTTTGTTGTTTACCAGAAGGAGGTGAAAGTCACCAAGCTGCAACATTTTCTAGTCCCAGAGCAATGCTCTTGGTCTACCAATACCTGCATCCTAAAATACTGTTAACAGAAAAGTGTGTTGCGTAAAATAAATTTTATCCGTACAAAGATGCTGCACACATGACCTGTGGCACACACACAAAGATGTATGTGTAATAGTATGGCTAATAAATTTGCACACTTATTGATTTATATGTGAAACGGGCAGTTGTGTGTGCACTTGAATACTTGTAGAAACACATGCTATATGTGAACATTTCTATGTCTAAGCTGTCCCTTGGCTATTTTTTTCTCTCCCTGGCTACAAAATTCACTTTGCTGACAGTATTTAAAACACCAGAGGACTGAGAAAGGGTTTTCTTGTACTGTGAACAAGAAAAATTCAGCATGTTTTTAATGAGCTTTCCTTTGGTTTACTGCAGCTTTTGTAAATCCTGCCTGAGAATTCAAACTTGCCAAATCTCCTCCCCAAAGATACATGCTGTAGCTTCCAATGCCCTCAGGACTCCATTTTAATATAACAGGTTCCAATACAGTCGAAAAATGCCAGCAAGTGAATAGGAGCCAGAGTCTACTTCAGCACACTTGGCTGGCCTTACAACTTTCTGAAATCTCTGTTTTCACTGGAGCTAGAAAAAAGAGATTTTTATCACTTGAAAGAAAAACTTAAGTCCCAGAGCAAACAAGCTTTAAGATTACGTTAGTTCTGCTCACTAGCTCAGAGACAGGGGGACTAACGACAAACTGACAAGGGTTTAGTCCTTGGAAATGCGGCAGTGTGTGTGTGTGTGTGTGTGGATCTCGCTTTCGAAAGCCCTGCCTTAGCTCCCGCGACGCCTGTGCTTCCCGAGCAGGAGCACAGATTGCCCAGGTCGGGATCGCAGGGGGAAATGAATCCGGCATAATAAACGTGTTACATCATACACCTAAGCCACGCATTGCTACAATATACCTAGGCGACGGCTCTGCTTGCTGAGCTCTCCAGAGCACAAGGCACTTCAGCAGTTTTCTCTTGACCTTTCCACATCCTGGCTTGCCCACAAACACTTGTATATTTATGAAGAACCTAACGAAAAATCATGGCACAAAGACAGAAAATCGGCTGTGCCCTAATGACAGCTACCTTGCTATAGCATCTCTTGATTTCCTTTATGTGACTGGGCTTAACAGTTTGATACTTCCAGGCCAAATCTAGCCATGATGTAGTTTCACTGAAGCCAGTGGTTTGAGTTTTGGAATGAATATGATCTCAGTGGAGTTATGCACATTTTTCATTGAAAGTTAAAATTATTATTGTTATCATCCATTTTGGATTGACTCAAAAAGAAGGAAGCTATGTTCACAAAAATGGAAAAACCAGTATCCACTTTGGTCTGTAACAATTGTTCTGTGTGACTTGAAATTAAATGTATAGATTTGGTTTTTTTTTTTTTTGAATAGCAACAAAAAATGTTGACGCTTTTTTCAAAATGAAAATCCAATGTTAAATCCAGAAAAAGTCATAATAAAGTACTCCGGTTGAATACTTTCTGGGACGTATGGACAAATTGCATTTCTCAATTTATGCACTATTTGTCCCCAAAATTTTCACTCATCCTTGGCTTAACATTTCTTTTGTAGTAACAGGGATCTGATCATATGCTCTGTTTCATCATTTATATGTCGGTATAGCTGCTGGGGTTATAGAGCTATAAATTAACATAATTGAATGGTGAGCCAAGCTCATTTGTTTCTACTATTCTTCATGATAGGAAGAAAAATATAAAGCTAAAATAAGTTTCAACCATGATCCTTCAAAAATTAGCTTTCCGGCTTTAATGCGTACAGGAATCAGGGTGTCCTTCTGATGAAAACATGGAATTAAAACCAAACCTGCCAGTATCCTGATTAAGCACAGTATGTTGATAGTTCTTGCAAGCAAGAGATGGGTCATTTGTGTCCTACGGGACAGGGGGCCACATAAACACTATTTAGAAAGCTGGCAGCGTTCTGAAAGCGTGGGAGCACTAATTTGTCCGTTCTTCAGACGGTTAGGGCATGCACGGTTAGGGCAGCAGCTGCAAGCGATCTCCCTTCGTGGCCTGAGTCGGCAGGTACAAGCCAGCCTGGATGCCTGTTTCCTCAGACTTTCAGTCGAGAAGGACATGTTTCAAACTCCAGACTTACTTCTCTCCCAATACATTTATTGATTTCCATGAAAGGCAAAAAGCTAAATATATATTCACAGAAGCCTCACTTAGAGGTTTTAAATAGGCAGGTTTAAATAGGTAAACTGCATATATAGCATTTGCTTTGTACAGCTGATTGTTAATTTACCTTACCTAATTTCCAATGTGGGAAAATAAATTTAAAAAACAAACAATGCAGGATATAATTTCTATATGCTAAAAGCAGATAAGTGAAAGGGACAAATATTAGCTCCTCATACTAGCAGTTTTGTTTTGTTTGCATGAACAATTTAGTAACTTACAGTTACAAGTGTTCCTACCTCTTCCAGATAATTTAGAAGTCAACTTAGAAGAAGATTTGTTAGTTGCTACTAGACATGATTTTAATTTTTTTTCATTTGTAATCTCTGAAAAAATCAATGAAATATTTATTCTTTTAAAAGTGTGCAGGAAATGACAAGTAAACTTAATATTTTGTGTTGCAAATTTTCATTTCAGTGTGATTATGACAACAGCAATTTCCCCCCCAAATCTACGTTGTACTCATCCTGCAAAGCAGTAAATGAAAAACAGAAATTTCTAGCAACATTATTGCATAATAATATTTGTTTGGGGTGAAACTATACTTTCGATCAGAAAAGAATTTCATTTTCTAAAATCAATTTTGAATAAATTCTAACTTAGCAAAATAAACAAGGTGGGTCAAATTTAATTTCTATTAGGGAGAAGCCTTTTTATTTGCTATGTCCATGGCAGAAGAATCTTATCTCTTCCTCATCCTTCCAGCCACTACATGGCATTGCACAAAAGGAGAAGAGACATGCCCTCTGCTCTTTGGATTTTACAGTCTGGTTATAAGTGACATGCATGACAGAGAGAGGTGCCAATGCATGAGTTAGAGGGAGAAATGCGAAGTGTTTAGAAGATCCAGAGAGATTTACATGTATAACTAGTTATTTTAAGAAAACATCTCATTCATTTACACAACTGTGGCAGTCGTCTTTAAATTCGGTAAACTACTCTATCCTACAGTGAAATATGTCAGAAGAATTTAAATCATAATGAACATCATTGGTTAATCATAATTTAAGGAAAATCCACTGCTCCTTAATACGAACAGCATTGCCGATTAACTGTGTCTAAGCACTGCAGTGGCAGATATATTAGAAATATAACTGAAGAGATAGATAGTTAAAAAGGATAAAAACCATAAAACATAACTCCTGCAAGACTCTGCAGAAAAAACTCCAGAAGACTACGAAGAAAATTGCAACTTGGTACTCAATACAGCTAGAACCAGAGCCTCTATCCTAGCCCTAGGGTGAGTAGCCCGAAGACAGTTCTTATCCCAAAGAGCTCATAACTCAGCCTTCTGACAAACCGTAGCGGTAGACAAAC